TCAAAAGACACATGAAATCTTTTAAATAATCAGAAAAAGCATTTAATAGTCATTTCAGTTATTGCAAAGGGTAACATAAAAAGCAAACTGTTATTTGTATTCTTTCCACCCCAATTTCAGAGAAGTGAAATCACATGACTTAGAATAATGGCTGGCAGGACTCTACCTCTGAAGAGTCTGCAGAGGTGTCATTACTCCATTAGTGATAATGGCTATTGATCTAGCCTCTTGGAAGAGCTAGTAGGAAAAACAGAATATTAAAGTCAGTAAAAATTATAAAAGTGTATCGATTCCACTAGGAAGACTTCTTAAAAAATATAATTAAGGTAGCCTCTTGCCACCCACTAACCCCCTCACCCTTGAGATAAACTATTTAACCCAGTAACTTCAACAAATTTAGTAGCCCAGAACCTTCCCCCATCCCGCCCCCAACAAATACCAGTAGCCTACTTATAATATTAACTTCTCAAGAGGCTACTGAAATCCAAAGGACAGGTTTGTGTTGTCTAATAAGTAGAAAACATCTAGGTGTAAATGTAAGCCTACATATTTGTCTTGAAAGACTAAACTTCCCTCTTACCTCCTTTTCAAAATACCGCATACATTTCTATCCTGGTCACCCATATACAACTATCACAGGCCCTAACTATTACTAGGCTAATGTCATTAAACGCAAATGTAACCACTCTACCATCTGGATGATCTCAGCCTTAGAAGAACTCACTTGAGTGCTCAAACTTTTCTTTGTATCTTCCTCCTGTATTTCCCACATTCTATGATGAGATGACTTTTATAAACAGAGGGAAGAACAAAGTTTCAAAAAGTTACCTTTTGAAAGCATCTACATTTCCTGTTTAATCCTCACAACTTTTCCAAGTAGGTGTTGACCCATTTTATAGATGAGGAAAATGAAGGTCAGAAGTCTGCCTAATTCCTCAAAGTCACAGTAAACAGGTTTGAAAAAGGTCTGCTTTATTTTATAAACTTTTCTTTCCTCCACACTCCATCAAGGAGCAGACACATAAACACAGCAAAAGAGAACCTTTTCAAATACTAAGCTAAAGTGTTCTGTAACGGATTCTCATTCCCCAACATTTACTGAAAATGACCCAGTAGGAAGTCATAATTTTTTAAAGGTTTTTATTAAAACCTGCCAAGTTAATTTGCAATAAACCCATGTATACAGCTTGCCCCTGCACTATGACCACAAAACACATCCTTGTTTAAAATTTCTGTATTTATTCATTCAATGCCCAGTTTTAACAGTGAGATGAATGTTTAAAATCATGAATATATTTTATAAACTTCTGAGAAAACTAGAAATAGGAAGGTGAACAGGCATATCTAGAGGTCACTGATGAGCATATCTAGGGATAAATGGGGACCAACTCTCATCTGGTGGAAGATAAAGTGCTTAATTCCACCTGCCTTATCTGCTAATTTCTGCATTACCTTGGACAAATGCCATTTGCATACTCCCTATCAGCCCTTGGGTGCATTGCAGCCTCTGTGTCATTGTGTGTGACATCACTGGGTTGCTATGGATATAGGTGCGAGGTCACTCGCTTTCCTGTGAAACTAGAAATGTGGAAAAATTAGAAGAGTCTAAATAACACGAACTAAAGGTATTTCCAATACTGATATCCATTAAAAGTGCAATGTATATACTCCGAGCTTTAAAGAGCTCAAATTGAGCTGTGGCAATATTTAATATTTTATTACAGCAGTACTCCCAATTTCAGAACCAGTTCTCTTCCTTAACAAGCTAAAAATCTTTGTTAATGTAGCTGGCTTAATATAAAAGCATGACATTGTCATCTTTTGTAAACCAGTAAAGTTATTCAATCTATAACACCATACTGCTTCATTAAAAAGGTTTAAATGTGCAAGGTACACTCCTGCATCCGCTGCACACTGGAGATGCATTTTAAAACCTTTGTTACATAAGGCAGGAAGTTAAATATTAAGATAGTGGGAAACCTAAATCATTAGATAATTTTCCATGTTGCATTTATTAATGCTCAGTATTTCCCCCCTCCTCTAATATTAAACTGGTTGACCACTCATTAGATAAATGTAGTGTTACTGACAAAATGGTGCAATACAGGCAGGAATCTGCATCTATCTAAGACAAAATGCGACAACTGGAGATCAGTATTCTCTTTTCATCAACATTGAGGATGCGCTAGTTTTTTTTTTTTAAGCTTCAGATGCATTTAACAAAACAAATTAAAAAAAAAAAAGACTTTTTCCCCTTTAAAATAACTCCTCCCAGCCTCCACCCAGTCTAGGCTCTCTGCAATATGACAAATGCAGAATCTTCTGGAATGACTTGATACTGCCTCCCACCATCGCTTTGTTTGCAATATCAGATCAGAGAGATTATTTTTTCAACTTATAGGAATTTCAACAGATGTGTGCCTGTATTTAAAAAAGAAACAGCATATGTCACAAACTGAATCGGTCACTAAATTCACAACCTTTATTTTAAAGACAATACGTACCCTTTCAACACAAAAACATTACGAAAAAGATGACATATTGAGAACAATCAATGAAAACGTTAGCGAGACAAACGTTCCCCTTCCTAAAAGCAAGAGGGCTTACTTTGGGGAATGGAGAAAGGAGGAGCCTTTTGTTAAGAAAAACGTGAGCAAGGAGGTTTCGATTTTGCACCACTGAGCCCAGATTTTCAGGAAAGCCTACATTTTTTCCGGGGAGGTTCTAAAGGATCTGTCTGGAGAGGCAGTGGGGCGATTTGGGGAGGGGGGGAATATTAGAAAACCGAGAGACCTGCTGAGTGAATGGGAAAGGCGCCGCCCAGACACCAGGGAGAAAAGAGGAACCGCATCCATGCGGTCCCCCGCCCCCACACGCCCAGGCTGGGAGGAGGGGAAGTGGGGCACAAAGGATGCACACGGCCCCCGCACAGGTCCCCAGCAGACCTGGAGGCGCGGCAACCAGAGACCCCGCTCCCGAGACCAGCCCTGCAAGACCCCGCCCCAGCCCGAGCGCGGGGAGGGCCGAGGAGGCAGCGCCGCCGGCCGTGGGGGACGCTCGGGGAGAGGCCGCGTCACACCCGGGTCCTCAGAGCTATCGGGACCCTCCCCAACCCCTCAGGGCGGCCAATCTGCAGTCGCGACAGGCGACTAGCCCTCGGGCCAACCCCACGAAGACCCGCGTCTGCGAAGGAGCTGGGGCGAGGCGGGGGGAGGGGAGGAGAAACTCACGTTCTTCATGGCCGCGGCCATGTCGTCGTAGCGCTCCGCCTGCTCCGCCAGCCGGGCTTTCTGCACCAGTTGCTCGCGGTCCACCATCTTCACGGGCTGAATCGGTCTGAGATAGGAGACCGGGACGGCCTAAAGGGCTCGGGGGGGCGGATGCGGCGCGGCTGGAGCCCGTGTGCCGGAAGAACCGACCCACGAAGCGAGCAGCTGAGGCGACAGCGGAGGCGCGGAGGCTGCGACTCGAGCTGCGACCGCAGGAC